GCTGATCCAACGCGAGGAGCCAGAAGCTTCTTCTGGGTCTCCTACATCAGTAGAGGGTCCCAAGGACTTAGGCCGTCCCCAACTGCTTCCCCAGGCCATAAGCAGGGAGCTGGATGGGAAGTGGAGCAGCTGGGACGCAAACCAGCGCCCACATGGGATGCCAGCACCACAGAACTAGGGCATAGCCTGGCCATGCAAAACATTTGAGAAATACAAATGACCTGGCTATGTAAGGCAAGTGGCCGCGTTGGGTGGCAGTATGGTGTATCAGCAATAAAGGCAGCCTGAGTGCCCAAGGAAATTGACTGATGGCATGAACAGGGAAATTGAGATAATATGTTGAGAATAATGTGAGCCAGTTTCTCACTGTTCAAGAGAGGGGTCGGAAGCAAAACTGAGCCTGTGGCACTGGAACAAGTAACAGCAGTCAGAGCCTCCATCGTGTCACTCACAGGCGGGTCTGGGAGCACTGAGGCTCAAGGAGCAACAAGAACAGAGCTAAGGCTTTGGTTCCTAAACAGGCTGCATGAAAGGAATCACAGCTGCTCGGAGAAACGACCAATTCCCCCGGCAGGAACACAGAAGTACCAGTGCCAGCTGGAGGCCCTCATGCCCTGCTTCTCCTGCAGCTCCCTGAAATATACTTGGGAAAGCAGTGGAGGATGGCTCAGGCAGCTGGGCCCCCCTCACCAACACTGGCAGAGATGGATGCAGCACCTAGCTCCTATCCTCAGCCTGGCTCAGAACTGCCTGCTGCTGCCAACGCGGAGGTGAACACGAGGAAGAGATCTCTTTCACATAAATCTTTATAAACAGACTAAAAGGCTCACGATGGAAACAACTAGAAACAATTCAACCAACGTCAATAAACTGCATATTATTGGGGAATTAAAAGGATGAGTCCAGGAATTAATATGAAATGATTGGGAAAGCACGCCAGAACACAGAACACTGTATACTCAGTACTTCAGTTTCTGTAATGAAGTACCTGAGGCAGGCTACTCTTGGCAAGACAGCAGTAGCAGCAGCATGAGGGACCCCAACCACTTCACAACCAGATGTGACCAGGTGAGGCCACTTTAGGCTGAGACCCAGGGTTCTGCAATGCATACATTAATCCCTTTCCGTGGGCACGCCTCAAACTGACATAAGGGCCCCTCACTAGTCCTCAACCACACTCAGAATCAAACACCCAACCCACAGCACCTTGGGGATGAACCCCAACAGAAGGGATCTTGGAATCTGAAAATCAGCACTGCCAAGCAGTACACTAATTATAATAAACATCCAGAAATACCATTGGGTACTACACCTAATGAGGAAAACATTGGTGGGGATAAGGCATCACGAAGGGGACAAGTGACACCTGCACCACCCCGAGGGCCGCAGTGAGAAGAGCATGTTAGCATTTCCCTATTTCCTTCAAAATCACACACCCCGAATTCAGTGATGAGGAAACCTCAACCACGAACAGAGGGATACTCCAACTGCTGAAATCCTGAAGGCTCTAAAGATGAGGGAAGTGGGTTGAATGGGACTAACCAAATGCAGCATGCTGCTAACCTGGACTGGACACTTTCCTTACATTGTTGAGACAACTGCAAACTTGAAGAGGGTTCTCAGAGGTGGCACCGAGATGCAAGTGATCTTTCTGGGGCTGTTCAGCATCTGAAATAAGCTAAGGATGGAAACACTGCTGATGCTCTGTAAAAATGGCATGGAAATTAGAAAGCCATCTTGAATTATAGAGATGCGGATGGAGCTCTTTTACAGCTAAAACAGTAAGCAAGAAAATCAGTGTCAAAATATTTAACTATCTCTCTTTAATGTCCTGAGAATTGGAGATGATGTGAAAATCAGAATGTTGTCAAACACTTAGAACCTGAAGGAAAACACTAAAATAGTGTAGACTGCAAAATCACCCCCAGGGTCCATTAGACCAATTACACAAGGACCCAACTGTCAGGCTGCCCTAAGGTCTAATCCCTCGATCAATATTCATCATCACTGAACTTTCAACAAACTTGGATGTGATGTATCGCAGGCTCTGGGCTATTCACATGCAAACAAACCGCACACAGCTTCTGTAACTGTGTGGCTCAACACGCTAACCTGGAGTTTCAGACTATTTTTGTCTTTGTTATTACAGAGATGGAAGCTGTCAATAACCTAACATCAAACACCCCAAATGTCAAGGTGCCAGAGTGGTTTGATCCTGGCTACAGTTCAGGGTTGAGGGCTAGTACAGCCTAAGGTGCTGACTGACTAGTGGCAGCTGGACTACGGGATGCCCAGGGGGCTGATAAACATTACTGCTGGGTGTGTCAGTGAGGTGTTTAGAAGCCAGCAATTCAAACAGTAGGGACCAACAAATCACCCATGTGGGCAGGCACCACTGGATCTGCTGAAAAGGGACAGAAAAGGTACCAAAAACAAGGATCTCCTCTCTGACCTGGGTCACTTACCTTCTGCCCTTGAAATTGAGAATTCCTGGTTCCCAGACCTCTCGAGCGAACTTCGACTCCCTGCTCCAGCTCCTCAGGTTCAACCTTGGATGGAATTACACCACCTATCTCTGGTTCCCCAGCCTGTAGACAGCCTATTCTAGGATTCTTATGCCTCCATAATCACATTCCAATTCCCACTATAAACTTCGTGTGATCTCAATCTATATCATATTGATTCTGCTTTTCAGTAGAAACTCAATTTTGCACAAATCCCATGTGAGCAATTAATGAGTGTAGGACAGAGCCCCATCATTCCATCATGGCAAGCGCTGGGATCTCTGTCCGTTGCTGCCACAACCCCCAGTTCAACCACAAATGAAAGATATTCAGAAAACTGTACTCGATAGTACATATTTTCCTACCTGGTGAATAACACTATTTACATTACATTCACATTCTAAAACCTACACATGTTCTGTAGTACATGACAGGATGCATACAGGTTATAGGCAAATACTTCACCATTTTTTTCTTGAGCACCCATGGACTCTTAGGATCCACTGAGGCCCTGAACCACCACCATGGATAGAGCTATTAGGGTCAATAGATTGGGCTACATGGGGTTAAGGTTGTGAAGGCATGGTCGTTCTGCCCTGATGAAAGTTTCCTGGATGGGGAGGAAAGCCATGGAAAAGCAAGCCAGGAATGGATCAAAGGCAGTCATGGAGGGTTTGACAGACAGGAAACCCAAGTTCAGGGTGGCTGTTTCCTAATTTCTACTCTTACACTAAAGGGCCTACATCTATTCAAACAGAGCAAGAGTACCCCATACTCAATGTTGGAGACTGTTCTGGGTCCACCACACCACACACAGAGCAAACCTGCTGTCACTGCTGCTGTGGTCCTCAGCCTCCTCTACACAGTGCAAGCTCATCCTGGAGGGATCACTGCTTTTAGGACCGACACTAAGGCAGGGAGGCGTTTCCCAACCCCAGTGTCTCCCACCACCCTGGAAGTTCCCCGGGGTCTCACACTGCTGCCTGCCTCCTCATCAAGGTTCTTCTCATGGCGCCTCCACTCACTCTCCTCCAACTGTGGATGTTTTCTCTAAATGTTCTAGCCTTGATTCAGGCCAAACTGATTATTTTTTTAATTGCAGTTTATCTTTCACTGTCAGTTGTTTTTCTGGTATGTTCGGGAAAAATTTTAGTATTTTATCGTGAGAACAAAGAACAGTATAACAATAGCAGAGAAATTTCAAAACAGCCACTTAAAATTGTTCAGCTAGTGTTATCAGACAATGCAATTTTGTCTAGGCAGTGAAACAGGGGTGATATTATATGGAAAGTTAACTAAGCCATGACCTGTAGCCAAGAGGTCAAAAATGTCCCTCCCCCACCCAAAAAACCCAGCTTAGAAGCAGCACAGAATTTCACAAACCATGGATTCAGTTTACAACAGGAATGGTAAGCTTTTCTGATAAAATATCTAATTAATCAGGTGTTGTAAGAAACAAACTTGACTATATTCATCCAAAAGCAGTTTTCTTACATGCAAAAGCAGCTATAGACAAAATATACACAAATGAATGTGGCTGTTTTCCAGCACAGCTATTACATACACTGAAGTGTGAATCACAAATTTCATATGTAAGTTCCGTTTTGTTAAATCACTTACAAAAATGTGAAGTCCATTCTTAGCACACGGACCACACCAAACCAGGTGAGATTCAACTCGCTGAGGTTTAGAACAAAGTGAAAAACTGACAGAGGAGGGCAATTTACCCTAACCTCACTGCTTACATCTCACCCAAACAAATGTGACCAGGGAGAGCACATCCCTGAAATGGCCTTAGGTGGAGGGCTGAGGGGGTGGGAGGAGATGTGGGTGGGGAAAAAAAATACAAACTATGGCGTGATCTCGAAGTCCCCGATGAACTCCCATCTCTGTGTTCACGTGTTGGCTGAGAGAAGAGCCAGTGCCTGGCCTGAGGCTGGGCTACATTTTTAATAAAGGAAAGAACTGGTGATAGATATGTTGGCAACTTTCAACCTAAGACTCTACATGACAGAATCACTTAAAAAATGAGAAATGCAATGCTGAAATGTATTGAAAATATTTTATAATCAAATCTCTAGAATCCTGGCCATCTGGTACAGGAAGATTTTATATGATGGAACACTTCAATATTTTTAAACAATGAAAAAGAAATGTTTGACTAGAGGATGACACAGAATTTCATAAATATAAACTTCAGCTTCCTCACATTTTCCACAAAGCAACTAAACAATGAAGAATTTTAAGAAAACAGATTGACAGTATACTTCAAAGTCAAGTAGCCACTTACATTGAGATTTACCAAAAGTTACACGCGATGTCCCAGAAATGACCAGAAATGGTACCCTTCTTTCCAACTCACTGCCTTAAAAGATAAACATCTGTATGACTTGTCATTTTATTCTTGAGACATTACGCATAATTCATTATGAAACACATAGGTAACATCAATCCCAAAAGCCTATTATGTTTATAAAATAAACATATTAAACATGATACACTGCAAAGGAAAATCATGGTTTGTTTATTTTTTAAAAGACAGGTTATGATTGCATGATGACATAAAAGCTCAGAAGTCATCACCAAACCGCTAAGAACTCTGCAGGTGAGTAGACGCAGGAGAGACTGTGCAAGTTCAGCTCTGCATCAGACGGTAGGAAAACATACTACTTCTTCTTTAGTCTTGCTTAAACTCAGAAAAGCAGATTTGATGAACTGAACAAGTAGGCATCAGCCCCTCTTTATGATGAAATACCAGTGCCAATGGAGATTTCAAAGAACAAAAACTGAACTGGAAAAGAAAAATCCAAATAAAAAGCAACACTGCTAGTAAGAGTCTTCTTTGCATATGCCACGAGATAGCCTGATTGTGCATTTCCACAGTACTTTCCAGCCACGTCTCCCAGCCCTCCCCAAGCTCTCACCAGTCTGGCAGTTTAAAATGCTGGCTTCTCATTTCGTCTAGCCTCTCTTTGTGAAAGCAAGATAGCACTAATGACTTTAATGGCAACAGACTCTTCTCTAATAAAGCACAACATTTACAAACATCAAAAACTCAAATTTTGAAACATTTGCACTAACTTTGAACTGACTCAGCATTCTGTGATTTTTAAAACAGGCTGCAGTTTGGCTTAAGGTTTGCTGCTGAACACAGTGCTGCTGCGCAAAGGGGAAGAGACGGAGTGTGAATGCTGCACTTCTCCATTAGCCCCAAAAGTGCTAATTTCACAAAGGGATACAACAAACATGCAATGGTGGTTTTTTAAATTTTTTACTGCAACGTAACAATAAAGTAAACAGTAAGTAGACACCTATCAATTTTCCCCCAAAACAAACATAAAAATTGTAAACAGGAAAATAACTCTGCCTATACTTGTACAGCTTCTCAAATCATGTTAGCAGGGTCTCACATTCAATTCAGTGATCAGCAAATTTCAAAATAGCAGTCATTATTTTCATTTTTTAAGAAAAGGTTCCCTTTCTCCCCTTCCCCAAGTATTTAACATCAAATGGGCGTCCTTACATATTAAGTCTATAGTCAAGTGAAGCAGCAACAACCATCAATAACTTGGCATTTCTGTCTGTAGTTGCTCCAAACGATCTTGTTTAACAAAGCTATTATCCAGTGTTGCCATGAGACAGAGACCAAAATTCTAGGTAGCAAAGACTCTTTCTGAAATTGATGTTAAGTCAAAGAAATAAAGCAGGGCATTACACTAAATTTCTGGATCTAGTACACTAAAAAGAGTGAAACCTAGGAAAAGTTACCTACTGCTTTATCGAAGAAGACCTGCAAAAGCTGATTTTTGGTTGTATCATATTTTACACACTGTGTGGATTTGCGGCATCTGCTACTTGAAGCAGACATGCACTGTATTTATCCCTGCCCTATATCCTAGACCCCTCCCTTCCCACCCCCCCAACAATCTACTACCGTATACCAAGTATTGTGGATATGAGCCCAAGTCATCCCAGACAATCCAGTGAACAAAGTTAGTGTAATGCACTGGTGTGAAGTGTGAGATACAAAAGAGTCCCTTTCAATCAATCTTCATCAAAGTTCTGCTGTAGAAGAAAATTGGCAGCCAAATTCTCATTCTTCTCACAAGCAAAATATGCTTGTATCACAAGTCCTTCAGGAAATCCTAACGCCTTTAACTGCAAGAGAAAAATACAGAAATTTCAACTCACCAAAATGCCAACAGTAAGTCTGCTTAACATCCTATGGATTCCAGCATAGTATTACTAACTGATTACTAAAGCTCTTGATAGCTGAAATGAATCCATTCCACATTCACGCAGCAACCTAGACACTTTCCCTTAACAACCACATAAGAAAGTCTATGTGTTCCTAGTTATTAGACTAACAGCTCTATGCAAACAATAATTGGTGTTAATACTAAGAAAGTTAACTAGAGCGGCTTAAAAACAAACTACCATATAGAAACTGGTAACTCAAATGGCTTTCAGCATATTATGGTGGAACGCAGCAAGCATGATAGAATCTAAAATAGAGTTTAACTTTCCACTTTCCCCCCATTTTTGGCAAAAAGCAAATATGCTTTATTTGATATTCTGGATCATTTTCAATCTCATTGCTTTATTTAATACTTCATACTAGAAAAGCAAGTGAATAATTATATGTATAATAATTATGTTATAAAAATTAACACTTCATGTTATATTTTGAAGTAAAGACAGTATTCTAGGGGCTGATGCAATGGCTCAATTGGCTAATCCTTCACCTTTGGTGTCAGCATCCCATACAGGCACCAGTTCGTGTTCCTGCTGCCTCACTTCCCATCTAGCTACCTGCTTGTGGCCCGGGAAAGTAATAGAAGATGTCCAAAGTTTTGGGATCCTGCACCCATCTGGGAGACCTGAAAGAGGCTCCTGGCTCCAGACTGGCTTAGCTCCAGCTGTTGTGGCCATGGGGAATGGACCAGCGGATGGAAGATTTTTCCCTCTCAGTAAATCTGCCTTTCCAATTAAAAAAGAGACAGCGAGAGAGTGAGCATTCTATTTTTTTTGTTTAACCTTCAAAGCATAGTAAATGGTGACATCAGTTCTTACATTTCACCTTCCTAGTTGAGAACAAACACTTTGTTTTCACCATCTTGATTGCATTATATTATACTATTTCCAGAAATGATCTTAAAGAACTAGGCAAGTATTTCAATTCAGTACAAATAATGCTTCACCCATAACAGGAGAAAAAAAATAAAGTAATTAGCTTGTTAACTAGGTCCCATCCAACTTAAACCTAGGCTAGCTAAAACACAAGAACACACAGGGCAAAATTCAACTACATGGTTTTATAGGCACTTGTTTTATATGCAAAGCTACAAATATACTGAGAGCAAAGAGATAAAAAAAAGATATCTAATATGCAAAAAAATCATCAAGGGAGAGCTGAAATGGTTGAGAATACTGTGCCAGCAAAGGTAGGTCTTTAACATTACTGGAGATATGGAACATTCTGTGATGTTTAGAAGGGATGGGTCAGGAAAACACATTTAGAAACAGATATAGTAACAACAAACCCCAAAATACACAAAACAAAAGCTGAAAACATCAAAGAGAGAAATTGAAAATCCAACAATTAAAAATCTCATTATCATCACTTTTAGTAATGGATACATACATTAGCTAGACAGAAGGCCAACAATGCAATTTTAAAAAGACTTGGCTGGCACTATCTACCAACCGGACCATATTACACATTCTCCTCAAACCATGCTATCCTTTAAGTTCAAAAAGACGTTTCACAAAGATATTCACTGACCACAATGCAATAACCTTAGAAACCAACAGAATATTCTTGAAAATTGGTAAGTGCAGAAATCAATTCTAAATAACAAATGTGTCAAAGAAATCACAGAAAAAAAATATGAGAAAAATATACAATATACTAAACTTACATGGCACTGCTACAGCAATGCTCAGAGAGATGTCTAAGGCAATAAGCAACTACACCAAGCAACACAAAATCCAGCAATCTAATCTCCTACAATAACAAACCAGAAAAGGGAACAAACCCAAGGCAAGCACAGCAAAATATATATTAGAAAAGAAATAAGTAACACTAGGAAACCAGCTAAGAGACTCAACAAAATCAAGTTAGCTCTTTTTCAAAAGATCAAGATTGATAAATCTTTAGCCAAACTGATAAGAAAAAAAAAAACAAACAAACCTGAGAACTCAAATTATGGAAATCAGGTATACATACAGAGATGTTACAATTATTACATATTGAAAAAACAAAGCAAAACATGAGAGTAATAACAAGACTTCCTTAGAGAAAAGGCTAGATCCAGACAACTTTGCTGGTAAATCCTTCCAACCATTTAATGAAGTATACACACCAATTTTTAATTAGATAAAATACCATGGGAAAGTACAGTCCAACACTCGTTATAAATACATGAAAATCCTCAAAATTTCATTCACAGACTGAATCTGGCAAACACAGAAAAAGGACTGCATGCTACTGAGTGTGAGTTATCCAACAAATGCACAGCTGGCTCAGTATGTAAAAACCCACCGGTGTAATAAACCCAGCACTGCGGTGCTGTGGGTTAGGTCATCACCTGTAACATGGCACTCGACATCAGGTCAGAGAGCCAGTTCAGTCCTAGCTGTGGCTGCCCAACCAGCTCCCTGCAAGCACGCCTGGGAAGGCATCAGAAGATGGTCCAAGAACTTGGCCTCTAGCACCCACGCTGGACCTTTGGCTGGGGGTGCCAACTCCTCTCATTCTGTATCTTGGACCTTCAAACAAGTAAGTTTTAACAAATAAACAAAACACAGAAAAGAAAAAGGCAAAAACCACATTGTTATCTTAACACAGAGAGCCACTTGCTGAAATCCAAAGCCCCTCGGTGATGAAAACATTTAATGAACCCGACAAAGGGCATCCAGGGGGAAAAAAAAAAACCTGCTGGTGAATGAATGAATGCTTTACTCTGTGATCAAGAACAAGACCACGAAGCATACTGGAGGCTTTAGATAAGGCAATTAAAAAGCAAGACAAAAAGGTATCCACACAGGAATTGATGTAACAAGAACAGAGTAGAAACTTTACAGTGAAAATGAACAGAACATGACTGAAGGAAGTGATATAAAACACAAAAAATGAAAGACATCAACATGGTCATCCTCCTCAAATTCATCTGCTAGAATAAGGTTAATCCCTATTAAAAATTCAAGCCAGATTTTTTGTCTCCGAGGGGTGGGGGTGGGCAGAAATTAGACATGCTTATCTTTACTTTTTTGAGATTTATTTATTTGGAAGGCAAAATTACAGACAGAGAAAGAGAGGGGGAGAGAGAGAGAGAGAGAGATATTTCCCATATGCTGGTTCAGCTCCCAACAATGACTGGAGCTGGACCAGTCAGTTGAGGAGGTCCAGTCCCACTCATGCACACACACAAAAAGACCAATATATTGTTTGTAGCACATAATCTTAAAACACAGCTTAGTAGCAATAAAGTAAAATTTGAAATACAAATAAAAATTGATAATCTAGAATTGCATATATGCTTTAAGGTATTTTTCCTGCTTTACATTTTTCAAACACCAGTGAAAATTTTTACAGTTCCTTGATGTATTTAACCTGTTTCTTTCAAGACTGGCAAACTGCACCTAGACCGTCGGCTTTGCAAAGCCCAAGAGACTGCCTTACCAGTCACCTGGGTGAGTCCCTTCTGCTGTGCACAACAGCACCATCCCCATGCAGGAAACCCTGGTACCTGCTCCATCCAACAGCAGCCCCACGTGACCAGGGGCCGTCCAAACACGACTCACCCGTTCTATAGCTTCTTTCTCCTGAGGTGTTACTTGAATGTAGTTCATGTGACCACTTCCAGCTTCTGCAATTCCAGCACTACCACTTCCACTTCCCCCTCCTTGACTGCCAGCTTCCTGAACTGGTTCATTTAACATCTGAATAAAATGCTCCTGGTGTTGGCTAATTTGCTGTGGTGATTTGAAGGGCAGACAATAACAATACATTAATATTATCCCAAGCAAGACAGAATATTCTGATGCAGGTAAGGAAAGATTGCAATCTTGCTACTATAGTAACTTGTAATAATTCTAGAATTCTGTTTTTACAAGGATATGTTTCTCACATACAATGAACTTGGCACTACTGAGTAAGGTAAACAGTAAACAGAATTAAAATTATGTTTTATAATTATCCTCCTTTCCCCATAAAGTTACCTAAAATACTAAAGGTAGTATATATATATTTCACATTTCATATTTTACACACTAATACAAAGTACAAAACTGTGCAGAGTTCGGAACACTTGGTGACCTGCACATCAGATAAGCCTGCAGCTCTACTTTCTGGCCCTCTGGCAAAAACACTGGGGGAAAGTGATTTAAAAAATTACGTAGATTCTTTGTTAAACAGCTTCTCAGATTCTTTAATACCTTAATATACACTGGAAGTTTCTTCTAAGAAGCAAATATTTCCCAAACTTATTAGTTGACTTAAATTAACACTATTTCTATACTTCACGACAAACAACCCTGATTCTCAGTATATCCTTCTAGAGCATAATATTCTACTGACTGCAGGCTGGAAAAATGGTTGGTCCATATTCAAAGAGGGGGAAGAAAGAGTCACAAAGCATTTCAAAATATACTCCACGCCAGCCCTTCCTTCCACGTTGACCCTGGCGAAACACTTACCTGTAGTAGCTGAGGATTCTCTCTACCTATCTGTTGTAGCAATGCTGGAAGCAGGGAAGGATTCTGTTGGATAATTTGTCTCATTTGTTGAAACTGAGGTTGATTCCGTAAAAATTCAAGAGGATGTCCTAAAATGCATGCATTTTTAAACAGAAACAATCAATACAAAATAGGTTTCATCATACAGTAAGCAAACACTTATCAAGTAAAACCCAAGTTTTCATATGTACTAGAAATGACAAATAGTGCATTGGCAAGTCTTAATACCACAGAAATCATTTTGTGCAGGAAGGTTGGAAGGTGTAGAACATTGCAGGAATCAAACTTTTCTACAAGTGCCTGAGCACTCAATAAAATCCAAAAAATACTTAAAACTGTGTTCTGCTTGAGTTGTGTCTATTAAAAATAAGTAAGGAGTAATAAAAATCATTTCTGCTGCTCACAGGATTCTAAGAAAAAAGCATAGCAGGACTGACAGTAAGAAAATCTCACTTTGCGGGCCCGGCGCAATGGCGCAAGTGGTTAAGTCCTCGCCTTGCACGCCCGGGATCCCATATGGGCGCCGGTTCTAATCCCGGCAGCCCCGCTTCCCTTCCAGCTCCCTGCCTGTGGCCTGGGAAAGCAGTCGAGGACGGCCCAAAGCTTTGGGACCCTGCACCCGTGTGGGAGGCCCGGAAGAGGCTCCTGGCTTCGGATTGGCATAGTATCGGCCCGTTGCGCTCACTTGGGGAGTGAATCATCGGACGGAAGATCTTCCTCTCTGTCTCTCCTCTCTGTATATCCGCCTTTCCAATGAAAAAAATAATAAAAATAAATCTTTAAAAAAAAAAAAAAAGAAAATCTCACTTTGCAATACTGCACTCACGAGTCTGTCACAGGGCGGGCCTGTAGACTCGGTCACACCACCACTAGGTGGCACAGCCTTAAGGCATCACGTGAGTTTTCACTGACGGAAATGACATGATTACAGTCAAAAATTCTTCAACGAACACAATCTGAACCTGAATTTCTAAGAAATGTTAAACCATTGTGACAAAAATATTTAATACACAAAGAGCTCAGGTTTTCTGTTTAAAAATATTAACTTAAAAACCAAAGCAAAACAAAATAAAAAATAAAGATGCAAAACAAAGATATGAACTTGAATAAAACTGGATTATTCAATGGTTATTACTAATAGACCTAAAATATTTGTGATTATTTCAGGTAAGATGCAAGACAATCTAATGATAGTGCATCTAAAGTTCTTTAATCTCATATTCCAGGCCCAGCAGCATGGCCTAGCAGCTAAAGTCCTTGCCTTGAAAGCACCGGGATCCCATATGGGCACTGGTGCTAATCCCAGCAGCTCCACTTCCCATCCAGCTCCCTGCTTGTGGCCTGAGAAAGCAGTCGAGGACGGCCCAAAGCCTTGGGACCCTGCACCCGTGTGGGAGACCTGGATAAAGTTCCTGGTTCCTGGCTTTGGATTGGCGCAGCACAGGCCGTTGCGGTCACTTGGGGAGTGAATCATCGGACGGAAGATCTTCCTCTCTGTCTCTCCTCCTCTCTGTATATCTGACTTAGCAATAAAAATAAATAAATCTTAAAAAAAAACCTCATATCCCATTGGTCCTTATCTGCTTATGCAATATGAAAAATATTGATACAAAATGATTTCTGAGGTGACTAATGAGATTTTTAAGATATTGTCATTTCACAAATTATTCAGAAGAGATTTTGGGCTCCAGACAGTATTCTTAAAGCAATTAAAAAGTGGCTACTCTCTGCTAAGGAGACTGAAATACAAGCTTTGCATTCCTCTCTAGCATGCTCTTAAACCTTTCAGGCCTCTACTTCCCTGGTTCTATAATAACTATGAAGATCTTACTAGCTTTTAAATTACACATACTTTGTAACATAGGGAGACAAAGAAATAAGGTGAGCCAATCACTTTTAACTTCAGAACATGCCTTTGACTCAAATGCAGCACTGATGTTTAATATAAACAATGATACCCACTTGGAAGAATTTCTTTTGAGCCTCATTCTAACATTAAGAGTTATGCAAGGGACCAGCACTGTGGAATAGCAAGCAGGTGAGCCACTGCTTGGGATGCCAACATCCTATATGGGTGACGGTTTGCATCCCCAGCTGCTCTACTTTCAATCCAGTCCCCCATCAGCAGGTCTGGGAAATCAACGGAAGATGGCCCAGGTTTTAGGCCCTGCTTCCCACTGGGAGACCCGGACAAAGTTCCTGGCTTTTGGCTTTGGTCTTGCCTAGAAATGGCCATTGTGGCAATATGTGGAGTGAACAAGTGAATGAAGACTAATTTCTTATTCTTTCAAAATGAACAAATCTTTTTGTTTTCTTCCCTTAGGGAGTGATACAAACAATCTGGGAACAAACTCATCTCTAAAATATCTCAGAGTAAATTACCCTACACTAAAATTTCAGATGAAAATATCTTTCCCTATTCAAGAGCCTACTTTACCTCCAGAACTTGCTGTTGTTGTCGTCGCGGCTGTGGTCGCCGCACCTGCAGCCACGGCTGAAGACGGAGGGGCTCCAGTACTAGCTGCCTGAGGGGGCTCAACCACAGCCTGGCTTTCTCTATCTCCTGGGATTCCCTGCAACACAATTTCCAAGCTTTAAGATATCCTATCACACAAAATTAGTTATTAGAGTAAAAAGATTTATAGCCTAGTTAATATCCTTGTCCAGCTCAAATTAAAAGTAAAGGTCTGTACTACTGTAATAATATAGAGGAAAACAGTATGTGTAAGGGGTGGAGGGGACGAAGGTAGAAGGGGAAATCCCTGAGACTTTCATACTGTATCATGAAAAACAAAAACGTAAGAGTATTAAGCCATATGAATTCAAGTTAGGATGATGGGAATGTTCTTTAGGTGAGCTCTCCCTTAAAAGATATCTAGTAGCCACAAAAATTTATCCATACATATCTTGTTAACATTGAACAAAGTCTTTGTGCTATTTTGCTTTGATTTTATAACTATTGGGCATTTTCATCAGCAGTTGCTCAGCGCTGAAGGATCACATTTGAAACACCAGTCTTAAGCTTTTCTACATAAAGTTTAGATACACACTTGACAGCTGTGAGATAAACCTCTAATAGACGCAGACAGCGGCCAGGTAAGGCTCTCCGCCACTAACCCATGGTTCTGAGAAAGGTCCATCCAGAGGTACCACAAACACTCTATTTTCCAAAATACAGACAATAAACACAAAGTAACTGACATAACACTTACGCTCTCTATTTAAGTCAATTGTATCTATTTTCTGAAGTTATTAAAATTTAAAACAGCATTATAACCTCTGAGACCCTATTTTGACATACACGATTTATAGATTTCCTACTTACAGCCACTTAAAAAGTCTTTGTTAAATTCTTAGAGATTTTGAAAAGGGCAGAAAGAAGGAATAGTACTTCAGTAAGAGAGTAAATGCTTTCACTTACCAAAAAAACAGAAACTAAAATCTTATATATACGGAATGAACTGCCTTGTATGTCATATATATAACAAATAAGTTGTTACTGCAGGTAATGGAAACAGCTCAAAGTTCACTAATTCTAACCCTTAAATGAGGAGTTAGTAAGAACTAATAAACTACACACACAGATTCGCTGAACTGAAAAGTTACCTCTCACTGCGACATATCCCTCTAAATCTCACACGCATTACACTCTCACTGTGTAAATGAGCAGCATTTCCTTCCATCTATTCGTCTCCATTTGAAGTAGTGAGTCTACCAAATACTGTAAGCTGAAACTGATTCTAACTAAGTCGCAGTATTAAAATTCAGTATTTTTGGAAATAGTGACTCTTAATTAAAACCTCAAAATTCCACATCCAAATATCTAATACTATTAAAGCAATGTAGACAAAATTATATAAATCAGGTATAATTCAAAGTTGTTCCATAAAAGTAAAAACAATACTTTTTCCAAACAAATCTGTTCATAAAGAGACACGAGCATTTAAAGAAAGTACCCAATAGGACAATGGGAAAATGATTTCAAATAGACAGAACTGTGCACGTAAAAAAGGGTTTGTGCAGACAACAACTATAGAGGTAGGGCCACTCAATGTACAACTGTAATCCTCCTCAAGCCACCAGGCCAACTGGCTCGCTTAAAGAACCTCTTAACAGAACTACCTGTAAAAAAAAGGCCTGGAGTACATTTTCCAAAGACTTAGGGTTGTACTTCTTTCAGTTTTTAGGACAATTTCAGATAAAACAAGGATATTTATAGGATAAAATTTAAATTAAAAAAAAAAAAAAGGTTGACAATTTGCTATTCCAAAATTGTTGCTTTACTCTGCATCATATCTGTCCATCTAGCAAACTTTCACTCTAGTAAACACCAGTTTTCCAGCTAATGTCCACAATAATCCATTTCTTTTTTTTTTTAAAGATTTATTTTTATTATTTTTTTATTGGAAAGGCGGATGTACAGAGAGGAGAGACAGAGAGGAAGATCTTCCGTCCGATGATTCACTCCCCAAGTGAGTGCAACGGGCCGATACTATGCCGATCTGAAGCCAGGAGCCTCTTCCGGGTCTCCCACGCGGGTGCAGGTTCCCAAAGCTTTGGGCCGTCCTCGACTGCTTTCCCAGGCCACAGGCAGGGAGCTGGAAGGGAAGCGGGGCTGCCGGGATTAGAACCGGCGCCCATATGGGATCCCGGGCGTGCAAGGCGAGGACCTTTAACCACTTGCGCCATTGCGCTGGGCCCAATAATTCATTTCTTAACAATTTCTACTGCTAATAAAATATCTTATTCAGGGGTTGGTGCCATGCCATGGCAGGCCAAGCTCCTGCCTGTGGTGCTGGCATCACATATGAATAGCAGCTCGAGTCCTGGCGGCTCCATTTCAGATCCATTTTCCTGCTTATGGCCTGGGAAAGCAATGGAGGTCGGCTCAAGTCCTTGGGCACCTGCACATACATGAGAGACCTGGAAGAAGCTCCTGGCTTTGGGTCTGCCCAGCTCTGGCCACTGTAGCCATTTGGGGAGTGAATCAACAGACAGAAGATCTCTCCTGTCTCTCCTTTTTCTCTGTAACTCTGCCTTTCAAATAAAATTGATCTTAAAAAAATTTTATTCAATCTCTCAACTGCTACTAATAAAAAATAAACTAATAAATTCAAATGTCAACAGAACCAGGCTAGATACACATCACATTGAGCAAATGATTCTACACTGGGTAACCAAATAGAGGGAAGTAGTGATTTAGAGACAGCATGACTTCAATTCTTCCTGAATTGATTCACAAAAACATGCTATCAAAGCAGTTCAGATAACCAGAAATCTCAACTACATGTGAAATCTCCTAATTTTCAAAAGATGGCAACTAATTACAAAATTCTACACAGTTTAAGCAAATAAAATTTTGTTAAAATGTCTGCTCTAAATAGTCCATGCAGGATTATACTGGGTTCTAAAAAGCTACTGACATGTTAGATCATTAATTTCATTCTCCCAACACAACTGGGCTATAAGGTACTTTCTCCAATCAGATAGCTAATTTCTAAGTAAAACCATATCAGAATTTTTTTTTAAGAAATATTTTATCAACACAAAACATTTATATACTTGAAAAAATATATAAATTATCTAGCATACATTATGCTTCTTTAGTGAACTGTTAACCTGTCTTTAAATTACGTATTTCTTGAGATTTCTATCTTAAGCAATTAGAATGAAGAAAAGTAAAAGCTTCTTACCATTAGAAGATACTCCACAGCTCTGTCAGGGTTGTTGAAACTGGCTCTCAAGGCTGCAATGACTTGTTCTCGTTCATAGCCCATCGACATGATCTCAGTTACCATATTCTCGTAAGACTGGCCTGTCACTAAAGAGAGGGGAGGAGGAGGGAAACTTTCACTCTCTATACATTTCTTGACTGCATATGTTAATGTTTACACACCATTGTGCTAAAACACTACTGTCTTGCAGTTTTCACTTGACATCATATATAATCAAAAACAGTGGGTGGAGGGGGTTAGGGACTAGAAGGCGACAATGTCACACTGAAGACCAATGTCCCAGGCAGTACCATAATCTCCTATAGGCCACTTTCCACAGGTTTTCCAAGGGTTTGTGTGAGCTTCATGTATTGGGCAATCAATAAACTTTTCTTCATTCTTCATAATTAGTTTCAAGTATTTCACTATAGTAACTACATCACCTTCCTTTTCCTACTGCATAAATCCACTTTTCAGCCTTCTTTATTATCCACGAATATGTTAACATACAAACACTGAATAGCAAAAACAAAAACCTACTTTCCAGATGCAGAAATTAGCAACAACATAAAAATTGTATTAAAGATGAGGATTGGGTTTTAGGATACCAAACATGAGCAAAATATCAACATCTGGTAAGCCAAATGCAGAGATATACACATACGCTGTCAGGGTTGGGGCCCCACAGCCTTCATACCATGCCTTCTAAAATGTTTTCTAATTTAGTTATAAAACTTAAAAAATAAATAGAAAGAGGAAAGACAAGAGAGAAAGATCTTCCATCTTCTGGTTCACTCCCCAAGTGGCTGCAAAGGGGATGAACCAATCTGAAGCCAGGAGCTTCTAACATATGACCATGTGGGTGCAGGGTCCCAATGCTTTGGGCCGTCCTCGATTGCTTTCCCAGGCCACAAACAGGGAGCTGGATGGGAAGCAGGATTGCTGGGACATGAACCAACACCCATCCGGAATGCTGGCGTTGTAAGATCAGGATTTAGCCATTGAGCCAATGTGCTGGATCTCCAAGAATGTTTAATCCTCTTCTCTGGATCTTCAAAACAATGTCTTGCAGTTAAGCTTTTTCCAGTTTGAAATAACTCTTTCTCCTACTGGATACTTAACTCACATAGTATTTGGTAGCAAAGCAGTTCCATAAAGCAATCAAAGATGGAAATCTTAGGCTGATTTAAACAGCTATTTTTTTTTTATTACTACATGCCATCTACCATTGAGTTCACCTCTGATTAAGTCAGCAGGTTGACCCTAGATCCTAAAAGGTGCCTCTGCTGTTAGAATCCTGTTGCTGCAAGAGCTAAGCCTGATCCGAAAGCCCAAACCACCAAGGATGTATTTCTCACCTGATTCCAGCCTTCAACCTTCCTATCACTTAATAACAAACCTGATCAAAGAGTGGGAATGTGGCTGTCAGTTAATAAACTAATAAGCAACACGAACTGTAAGATGTTACAATAGGAAAAAAAATTCCAATTTGGGTAGTCTAGCATTGAAGGGAGAGGGAAAGACATTATTGTTCCATAGATAAAAAACCAAGAATTGAGGGCCCGGCAGCGTGGCTTAGCGGCTGGAGTCCTCGCCTTGAACGCACCAGGATCCCATATGGGCACCGGTTCTGATCCCGGTGGCTCCACTTCCCATCCAGCTCCCTGCTTGTGGCCTGGGAAGGCAGTCGAGGATGGCCCAAAGCTTTGGGACCCTGCACCTGCATGGGAGACCTGGATAAAGTTCCTGGTTCCTGGTTCCCGGCTCTGGATCGGCACAGCACCGGCCGTTGCGGCTCACTTGGGGAGTGAATCATCGGACAGAGGATCTTCTCTATGTCTCTCCTCCTCTCTGTATATCTGACTATATAATAAAAAATAAATAAATCTTTAAAAAAAAACACAAGAATTGAGACAAAAAGGCATTTCTGTTGCAGGGCAATGTAGATAGAAACTTACAAGACTAACAGGTTACAAAGGAAAAAACCTGGAGATAAATAAACACAATGCGGGATCCTAAGTGAGGAAAATTTTATATCTATTTTAAAGATACTTTATAATGAACCTGTACATAGATCAAGTCTTCTAAAACCACATCTAAAATTTCACATTTGGAAAATGGAACATGCTTACAGAGTAATGTTCAAGGATTCAATATGAAAAATATTTAATGTACAGTCTTTAGAAACACTGTTATCTAAATAATTTTATGGCTTAATTAGAAGTACCCACATAAATTAACACAAAACCATGCCCTAGAAAACCAAAATACAAACTTCCACCCTCCTAGCAGTTACTTACAAGGCAGGGTAAGCACTCACCAAGTGCACTTGTTGCATCTTCAAAAAGGTTTGACCGAGACGCATCTCCTGACGTACTGTAAAGGTTGTACAAAGCTCTCAATTCCAAATGCAAGTAAAATAATTACACGGGCTTAGTAACTAACTTGTAAAAATATTATTTGACTCTAAACAATACAAAAGCCTGGTTACAGTATATAAGTCTCTTCTAGCTTAACCCATCTGTAACGCGGATAATTCAAGAAAAAGTTTCAACCTTACCACTCCTATTCTGAAGACTATTATCATTTCATGTATCTAAAGATATAAAATATTATCCTTACAGAGAGCTTGCTCTAATGATTTTATCTCTAAAAGAATTCATAAAGAGGTTAAAAATATATACATCATGTCACAACAGGACTTTTTTTGGTGGGGAAAAGGCAGATTTTACAGAGGTCTTCCATTTGCTGGCTCACTCTCCAAACGGCCGTAATAATCAGAGCTGAACCGACAGAAGCTGAGAGCCAGGACCTTTTTCCTGGTCTCCCAATGCGGATACAGGGGCCCAAGGCCTCAAACCATCTGCCACCCTCCACTGTTTTTCCAGGCCATAAGTAGAGAAGTGGAGCAGCCGGGACACGAACCTGTACCCATATGAGATGCTGGTACTAGCAGGTGGCAGATTGGTCTGATCCACCATCATGCCAGCCAAGTCATTTATGTTTCCTAACATTCTTACTCAAAATAACTGATTTTTGACTCTTTCTTCTTACTCAGGAGGGGGGTCGGGAATCAACCTATAGCATGGAGATTTGGATTACAGAAACCTATACTGTTCTCTGTAGTTAACTAAATAGACACACTAGTATGTTTCAGTCAATGTTCAAAGCTTACAAAATCTTAGTATAGTACACAGAAACCTGGTTTACCTGAAAGTATGATCAAAACAAATATGTGCAAAGTTTTTGTTATACACGTACCCTGATACATAATTTCCTGGTATCCAGTTTTTACCTGTCAGTTGATGTTGGACTAGCAGCCACTGGAGTCTCTGCTGGCTGTTGTACAGGTTTCTCCTGCTTAGCTGCACTAGCAGGTACAGGTTCAGAAGATGCTGTCGTTGATGCAGGAGCAGCGGATGCAGGCGTGGAAGTAGGGGCCGAAGCAGCGGCAGGTGTGGTGGCCTGAGTGACAGCTGCTGCTGTGGAGGAACTAACCGTGGTAGTGGTGGCGGGACTGGATTGCTGAGTTGTAGCTGGTGCTGGTGTTGTCACTGCTTTGGGCTAAACACATTAAAAATGGAAATGCTTAATATTAGCAATCCTACTCACTGCTACTCTTTCGTAGCCAATGACTGCACATGAACTCAATCAGATTTAGACTTTCTATTAGGTTAATATAAAAAAGAACAAATGGAAGTCAGTATTAAAATACAGAACATGTATGTAAAACCTATAGCCAGCTGATTTCTTCAAAAAACTACGTATGTTAGCTATAACCTTTAAGTACCTGCTGTCATTTGGAAACATTATCAAAATCATTTGTTGAAATGAAACAGAAATGATTACTAATGAGCATGCAAAATATGCTGCTATATTTTAGAAAAGGAAGAAAGAAAAATCCCAACACTGACAACATATATAGAGAAGCATTTGGAGATGCATATGTAGCTAAGAAAAAAAAAAAAAAGACCACATAAAGTTGTAATCACACACTGAGCACTTTCTAGAAGCAAAGGCATAAAGCTTCCCACAGAGCAAAAACTAATTATGTATAAAATCAGACTAAGCGAGTTTTATACGCATTCAGCTCATAACTTTCCTAAGAACAAAAGGTAACTGCTTTAATGGAATTAAAATTGAACATAATTTGCCATAAGTACAAATCAACAACCTGTAAAAGCATGAAGCTGCCTTGTACCTTGTTCGACTTGAGCTGGTACAGACTGCACTGAAAAGTGGCTAGTACAAGTTGGAGGGAGGGAGGCTTTAGAAATGCCAGTGGCATTTACTCCTCCTCCTATTCTAACAGCCTCACAGGTGAACGTACTCTGGAGATGCTAAAGTTCTGCAAGTCTAATGGGCTGAACTACTCAAGCAGTAAGTCATTCTGGACAAACTAAAGCCTCACAAAGGTGATCATTTTATCTTTTTTTTTTTAAAAAAGATTTATTTTGAAAGGCCAAGTGTGAGGCAGCAGTAGGAGACTGAGAAAGAGATCTTCCATCCACTGGTTCGGTCCCCGCAGAAAGCTGCAACAGCCAAGCGTAGGCCAGGCCAAGGCCGGGAGCCGGGAGCTTCACCCAGGTCCACGTGGGTGCAGGCGCCCAAGCACCTGGACCATCCCCTGCTGCAGTAGTAGCAGGGACAAGAAAGGGTACCTAGAGGGCTCTACTGCTGCAGGCAGCAGTTTACCCACCAATTCTATTTTATATTATCAATTATTTCGTGAATTGGGAAAATATATTTACTTCCTTTTTGGTCTTTGATGAACCGGTTTCAATTATCCACTTAATTTCATGCGCACTGCTACAGTAATGCTATTTCTTCTGAGATTAAGTAGGATTCAGTCATTAAAAAAAATTAATTTGATGAATACCACCACTTCTTCATGTTTTATCTCTCCGTTGTCTGATCATGTATCTTGGAAAAAAGTATACATAGTCTAAAGAATACATGCTCAATCTTTTTTGCAAACAAACAAAAAACCTTTTCACTTGCATTATCACCCCATACACACTCCATTCCAATGAATCACAGAAAAACTTCTGGGAAATTTTCTCTCAAGAGGGCCAGTGCAGTGGCTCAACTGGCTAATATGCTGCCGCAATTGTCAGCATCCCATATGGTCACTGGTTCATGTCCTAGCTGCTCCACTTCCAATTCAGCTCCTTCTTTATGGCCTGGAAAAGCCAGGTTCTTGAGCTGCTGCTCCTGGCTACAGTTTGGCTTATCTCCAGCCATTGGGGTCATCTGGGGAGTGAACCAGTGGATGGAAATTTTTTGGCCAAAATAAAGGAAACAACAACAACAACAACAAAAATCTCTCACGGGAACATTATCATTTCTGAAAGGCAGAAGTTAAGGCAGGGAGGGAGAAAGAGAGAGACACAAAGGTGTGTGTGTTGTTCAGGGGAATGGAGGGATGGGGCAACCTTCTGTCCACTGGTTCATTTCCCAAATGCCTGCAACAGCCAGAGCTGGGTCAGGTAGAAACCAGGGGCCAGGAGCCTCTTCCAGGTCTCCCATGTGGGTGTCGTCACCTGGGTCATCTCCCAAGTACATTAGCAGGGAGCTGGATCTGAAGTGGAGCAGCCAGGACTCCAACTGGCACCCACGTGCGATGATAGCACCACTGTCAGCATTACCTCTCATGCCACGACACTGCCCTCCCTTCCCCACAACCTTTAGTTGGCCTGTTCTTCTTTCAGTTTTCAAACATCTGTGTCTTCACTATGAAATATCACTGAAATACTGAGTTTACATGGTCCTTTGCCTTGAGGGCCTGTGAGGTTAGCACGTAATTCAGCAAGTACCTTCAAGCATCCTTTTCTAAAACCTCACAAGAAACAACTACTCGATTTTTAAGCGTATTTTTAAAAGAATTACATAATGTGATTTACTAATCCAGAAAGCACAATGTTAGCATAACATTAAGCATTTCCATGTGCTATGTATAACAAATGTAAACATCAAAACTCTAGAACATCAGTTACATGGACACTGTTATGGATGTGTATAAACTCTGCCCACTGTGCAGACTTGGGATCACTGTTATTAAAAACACTCACATGCAGACATATAGAATGAGAGTGAAACTTACTTTGGTCACCATAACCACCACAAAGTTTTTCTCATCAATTTTGTATTCCTTGAGAGCAGTGTCATCATTCAGAATTTTGCCTAATATATTGCAAGAAAAAATATTAAGTCACCTTTTTATCTTATACAAATAACTATATTAATGTAACTGTTACTAAAATCAATTTTTATTAATATTTTCTCCCAAACAATATCCAATTATCAGTATCCAAAATCAACATAAAAGGAAATGGTTAAAGTTATTTGAATAAGATGTCAAACATAATGCTATATTTAGAATGCCAAGTACTTTTAAAAAATGCATTAATTATATAGAAGACTTGCTGGGAAAAGAGACACAATTATATTTTGAGAAAGGCGAGATTGTGAAAACAAAGAAAATTCGACACAAATGTTTACCAAACGTTTATGGACTCCTCTCAGAATACACTATAATCTTTTCTTTTTTTTTTATTAATAAAATTTATTTTGACATTCTTTACATAGTTAGTTAGAGTAAGAAGGTTCAAGGGCTACAGGAAAGTGGATAATACTAGTATGTTTTCCATAATGTTACCTTCATGTTTAAAGGGGGTATTAAGGGAGAAGGCCCACCCAATTTCCCACCCTCCCCAGGTCCCGGATGTAGGGCATGCTCTGAGGTTCTTGCTCAAGTGGTTTTGATATTGCCACAGTTATGAATCGCTGTCAATTTTGCCACTCCAAGCACTATGAGGTCTTTGAAAAATCCACTGATTGACATAGTCCATCATAGCTGAGATGGTTGGTTGACCCGTTCTGTCTTCTCTCTTTTCTTCGTTAGGGTTCTGAGTCCAGCATTTAGATTAGAAAGATCTCCAAAGAAACTTCTTGTATGTGCTAACAAGTACAGGGCCTGGCACCGTCCATCGCTCCAATCAGCTGGTGGTTGTAATTGCTGGGTTGGTTCTGTTTTCAGCCCCGACTTCCACTGGAACCAATGGGTGTTGCAGTCCAGCCTGGTTCTGCCCCGCACATACTTGGCCCTCACATAAACCAGTGGGAGCTGCAGCCTAGTTGGAGCGACCCACCATAACCCCCACCAGGCCCGCCCCCTACCCTGGTTTGCCAGTAAGTGTAGCAGTAATCCAGTCTGTCCCACACCCCATTCCTCCCCAGCCGCTGTCTTAGTTTTATGTTCTCCTGTGGAAGTGGTAACCCAAGAGGGATGAGCCCACTATTTCCCTCCCAGGCCTCCCCCACTCCCAGATTCCAGTTGATGCTGCCCAAACAAACCTCACCCACTTTAATTTTGTTTGCACCAGTAGGAATAATCTGCCGAGCCCGGCTTTTCCCTGATCTAGTCCACATGAGGTACACAGGTGTGGTAGCTCTGCCTAGGAAGAGGTGGAGAGGAATGAATCTTTTTCATCCCCTCCCCCCAACACTAGACACCTAACAAAACAGAATTGAACACTAGAAAGTAACATATGGAAAGATACTTCAGAAAATGGTATATACAAGGCAAGATATTACAAATCAATAATGCACAAAGTTCACACAACCAATATCAAGACTAAGGTCAAACATCACCTTGTAACTCCCCCAGAGCACCTCTTCCTTGAATTTACTTACACATTTTTAAACTATTTCCATGGAAATCTATTTGGAATGCAGAGTTACAGAATTGGGGGGGAAGAGATTTTGCACCTAATGATTCACTCCCCAAATGGCTACAACTACCACAGTTAGGCCAGGGTAAAGCCAGGAGTCTGGAACTCATCTCAATTTCCCTTGTGCTTAGCAGGGCGTTAGTGCTCAAACCGTGCTCCACCACTTTCCCATGCAAATGGAAGCAAAAGAGCCACCAGCAATGCTCACATGCAGTGCTAGCAATAGGTTTCACTGAATTAAAAGCCAGAAAAATTAAGAGCCAAAAACTAGTCTAGCAAGTCTAGTACGTACAGAAATGAGGACAGGCAGACCAGTAACCAGAAACTGGAGTTTCATGCCTGTTTCTTCAGGCTTCTGTATTCTGACCTATACTGGCTAGCCTTTCCCATATATCTTTTTTTTTTTACTTATTTTTAAAAGATTTTTATATTTTTACTGGAAAGGCGGATATACAGAGGAGGAGGAGAGAGAGATGATGATTCACTCCCCAAGTGAGTGCATAGGCTATGCCGTTTCGAAGCCAGGAGCTTCTTCCGGGTCTCCCACGCGGGTGCAGGGTCCCAAAGCTTTGGGCCGTCCTCGACTGCTTTTCCAGGCCACAAGCAGGGAGCTGGAAGGGAAGTGGGGCTGCCGGGATAGAACCGGCGTGCCCATATGGGATCCGGAGTGTGCAAGGTGAGGACCTTAACCACTGTGCCATCGCGCTGGGCCCTCCCATATATCTTTTTAAGATTTATTTATTTTTATTGCAAAGTTGGATATATAGAGAGGAGAGACAGAGAGTAATATCCTTCGTCCGATGATTTACTCCACAAGTGACCTCAACAGCCGGGGTTAGAACTGGTACCCATATGGGATCCCCGCGTGTTCAAGGTGATGACTTTGGCCATTAGGCCACCATACTAGTACAAAGTTTCTATTCAGCAAGACGAGAATCCATCTGCCAAGACAGTGTTCAAATACTTCTTAAAATAATTTTAATTTTCTCTACTAAATTCAAGCCTATGTTTTGGACATGATTTTATCCTGGTTTTTAGCATGACTAGCTAGATAAATTTGAATTTTTGTTGACAGCATGGTTGCTCCTATTTGGAAAAAAAAAATTTTAACCGAAAGGAAGAACACACCACTTAGGATGCTCAGATTCCCTATTAGAGATCCCAACTGCTTCACTTCAGCTGCCTTCTAATGCTCCTGGGAAGCCACTGGAGGATGGCTCAAATACTAGAGCATTCCTGATAACTACACGAGAAATCCAGTACAGTTCCTGGCTTCTTGCTTTGGCCAGCTGCAGTCATTTGGGGGGCCAAGCAGCCAAAAGAAGCTCTGTCTCTCTTCTGTCACTTTTTCAAACCATTTTGTTTGAAATTTAACAAAAATCATCCAGCAATTAAAGGAAGGAAGGAAAACAAAAAGGGGAAGGAAAGGAGAGGTAAGAGGGAGGGAGGAGAAGGAAAGAGAACACACACCCCATCTGCTGGCTCACGCCCCTCAACCATCCGCACCTCCCAGGAAGCGAGAATGCTGAAATTAGGAGCTGGATGTGGGTCTCAAAGCAAGGTACTCCAACTAGACAAGGGGTGGAAAACCATCATTCCATCAAGAGCAATTTGGATATTTACAGCATTATTTGTGGCCCATGCAAAATCATAAACTTAAAGATTAGCCTGCTATAGATTTACTGACTCTTGAGTCCTGCCTGCCTTGGGTCTCACGGGGCCTGCAGGCTAGACCTTCACTTCCTGGTGGCAGTCAGGACACACAGGCGTCTCAGCTGCTAGGCTAGACACCTGCCCACTCAGAGGTTTATTAACTGGGTCACTTATACTTCGAAGATCTCCTCATACAAGGCAAGTATTAATTTCTTCCTCTTGTCAGTCATTATAGTATCCTTGACAAATAAATTTATACTGTAGAGTAAATTTTAGTTCACTTAAAAAGCAGATAGAAACATTAATTTTACAAGAATGATTTCAACTACACCAATAAACATAACTCAGAACAGAAGGTTCCATTCTACTAAACAAAAAAAGATGTTAAGTTTTAATAAAACAAAAAAGTAAACTATATGATGCTTACAAAGATAAAACGGAAGTAACCATAAACATGAAAAATGTTGAATGTTAACATCAAACAACTTACTATTACAATTATGTTTCTGACAGGCTCAATCTGTACTACCATCTGTAAGATAACAATTTCTAAAACTATAAAGAATATTACTGTAAGCCAGACATGTTATATTAATACCATTTACTTCATACCTGCATAAATCAATTTTTGACCTGCTACTGGAAAGGCATCTTTCCCCTTTTCGGATTCAATCTTCTCTTTCAGGGCTTTTACCTATAGGAAAAATAAAAAAAGCTTGAGAAAGTCTAAATAAACCAATCTAAAATCTGAGTAAATGATTTTTACCTTTTAATTCCTAAAGCTTCCCAAAACAATGTCTTTCCACTAAATCGAACTACAGGAACGACGACATAAATGTTCTTCTAGCACCACCTGTTCTACACATTCAGATTTCAAAAACTTCAGTATTTGACTTAGTAAATTAATTTTTAAAAATCTCTTAACAAAAAGTTCTGATTCACATAAGTTAATACGCTTATTTTCCAATGAGCATGAAAAGCAAAGAAAAAGCTCCATCACCTGAAAAGCCTAAAAAAAACCCCAAAATGGGATCATCTTTTCAAAAAGTACGCTTCAATGTTAAGGCTAAGCGTGGATGGGAAAAGGCAAATGATTTATTTTAGGAGTGTTGTAATGTTTCAGTGTAATTGTGGGAGCAGGGAACAACTTGAGCAGTTCCAACAGAAACAGAACCTGGAGGAGGGACCGGGATATCAGTGTGTTTTAGGAGCTTTCCTGGTGGTTCCAAAATTTAGCCAAAGCTGGTAAGAATGGCCTACTTGCAGGAGGTTAACAGCAGCTTAAGCATCCCTCAGTGCCAGCCTCATCTAGGAAAGAGACTAGGATCTTGGATCTATTTTATAACCCCATTTAGGTCCTTAAACTCCATGACAAAACTCTGATTTCTAGAAAGTCAGTCTTTCAATTAGTTGTTTAAACCATTAAGAATGAAGGATGGCCCAGGAGCAGGAAAGGCAAGGAAGCCCGGCTTTCCCCTGTGCCCTCACAAAGCTACGTTACTTTAAGGGCACAAGAATCAAGAGGAAAATTTAGTTTTTTAGATTTTCCAGAATAGTTCTAAATATCATATAAGTTGACCACTGTGGGCTTTATAAGAAAAATGGTCTGTCAGAAGGGAATAAGACTATAACAGCTGCTTTATATAATTACAAAGTGATGGCATGTACCACCCCTCAAACAAAAACATAAATACTGATTAGCTGCAAGTACATTTAAGACACACATTTCATTTAACTCTGAAAACTCTGAGACTAAAACAAGATTACTCACCAGATTTTACAGAGGACAACATGGAAGCAGGCAAATCGCCTGCCCTTATCCACACCACTATACAGAAGCTAAAATTCAAAACCATCTCTAAAGCTATATTTAGAGCAGAGCATTGCTATGTAAATCACCCACACTACACTGATCTTCCTAAAATGGGTCAGTAGCATCACTGCTATTGTAACATTTCCCAAGGAAAAATACTTGCACATCATAAAAATCTCAATACATTTTCCAGTGCCCTGAATTTCAATGCTAACTAACAAGTAAAAGATTTTTAAAAAAAGATTCGGGGTCAGTGAGATGGCTCAACTTGCCCGCATCACACTTGGGTGATGGCTCGTGTCCCTTCTGTTCCACTTCCCATACAGATGCCTACTTTCGATATCACCTGGGAAAGCAGGAGAGGATGCTTCAAGTTTTTGGGCCCTTGTACCTACATGGGAGTCCCAGATAAAGCTCCTGGCTCTGAACCCGCAGAGCTCCAGCCTCTGTAGCCATTTGGGGAGTGAACCAACAGATGGAAAACCTTTTCCTCTCTTTCTCTTTATAAACCTGCATTTCTAAAAATAAGTAAATCTAAACATATATTTGTTTATTTTTATTTGAAAGGCAAAGTTCCAGAGAGAAAGAGACGTTTACTCCCCAAGTGGCCTTTAGTACTAGGCCCATCCAAAGCAGGAGCTTCCTCCAAGTCTCCCATGTGGGTGGTGGGGCTGAGGGAGTTCTCCTCTCCTGCTTTCCCAAGTTAGAAGCAGAGCTGGACTGCAGGGGCAGCAGCCAGGACATGAACTGCTGCCCATAATGATGCATGGGAAGTGTTGGCCCACTACCCCACGGCAATAGCTCCTGAAAGATTTTTAAAAAAATAACTAGGAAAACATTTACAGCAGTAAACTCTGGCTTATAAAATCTTTATCCAACATAGTATTTCATTCTCTGCTAGCGTAATTCTACACTGTGATTCAAATCGAAAAAATACAAAGTGCCCACAACTTCTTTATTAACAGCAGGATCTGTTCCCAGCTCAAGCAACCAAGAGTCAAAAATCACTACTTACCTTTATTCATTCTCATTTCATAAATACACATTGTTTCCCAGGGGCTTTATGACATGACAAAAGACTGAATGCCAAAGCAGATGAAAGCCTAGCTACCTTAAATTCAGTCAAAAGATAAATGTCAAAAAAAAAAAAAAAAAAAAAGAATCCGCTTTCTCACTACCTTACCATGGTGTTAGGAAAGCTATTACCCACCAAAAAATCAATTATAACATTTAATGGATTTTAAGCAAATAATAAGGTTTTCTACTTTAATTTCTAATACAATATATTTGTTATGGTATATATTGACAAACAGATACAAGTCATTCTAAAGTCCTCAACAAATTAGAACATAGGACTTGCAAATATGATGACTTGATGAAAGTCACAAATAAATTATACATCACATGCACCATGATGAATGAATCCAGTTCTCAGACTGGGTAAGCATCTAGTGGGTACTGAATTGTAATATTCTGAATAAACAAACAAAAACAGCAGAGAAATACGTGAAGAATATGAAATAAAAAGTAAGAGATAGGAATAGAAGCATAAATCTCACCTTGACAAGTTATGAGTAAGCTAAGACAAATTTAATAAATACAGATACTCATCTAATAGATACAGAGCATCTTAATAAAAACTCACGCCACAAACAATATTGACTATATTTCAAAAATACTAAAGAAACCAACAGACTGACTCTAGAGCTTTGTATACCAAGGACGAGCAAAAGGGACAAAAAATATGTATTTCTGTATATTAAGTAGGACAATCCCTAACCATCTACTACTACATAATTTTTAAAAATACTGTTTAATTTTATTTTTGATGATGTTTACATAGTTAACTAGAGTGGGAAGGGTTGAGGGTTAGGGGGAAGTAGTTAAGACCATTGTTTCCAAGTTTTCTTTTTCTTCTTCCTGTGTGTGGTGTAAGAGGGATAAGAGGAGAAGCCACACTCAGCCTCCCAACTATCTCAGTACCCAGGGATGAGGAATGGCCACCCAGTGTCATCCCATGGTCCCAGTGTGGAGCACGCTTTGACGGTTCTGCTCAAGTGGTTTGAATAATTCTGAAATGCTGCCAATCCCGCCTCTCCAAGGATGAGAAAACCGTTCTAAGGTCCATTGGCTGACATAGTTCACCTCTGAGCCTCCATTCACCCAGATAGTAGCTGTCAATGTCTGGCTGGGATAGCTGATCACTGGTTCTGCCCACTTTTCTCTGCTATGGTACCAGATGTCCTCTGCAGGCCCCAGAGGACTGCCATATCCTCCATGTGCGTCTGGGCATGCCGTCCACTGCTCCATCTTAGCCACTGAGGAGGCGCAGTTCTGACACAAGCATTCCATGGCCAGCCAGTACAGTGGCCTTGTCCATGGAAGTCCCTCAGAAGTCATTCCTCATCTGCAGCATACTCCCTTCCATTCATCCTCTTGCCCCTTTCCCTGGTCAATCCATAGTCCCTGCGCCAAGGTGCACATGGGGCAACCAGTGCTAAATGGCACGTGCACAGGCAGCCCTGATCTAGGCAGGCAACCAGTGGTGCCAAATTCCTCCACATATCTTAAAAAAAAAAGGAAAAAAAATCAGAATAGTTGACTATTCTGGCACAATGGTACAGTTAACACAAAGTTGGCATTAACCAGGCCTAGGATGCTAGCTAGCTATGGCTGCTGCTTTTCTCCCAGCTGTGTAACACTTGTCTAGGTACAAGGCAACCTACAGCCAACAGCTGGGGCTACCACTATAGAATTCTGGATGATGTTTACATAGTTAACTAGTAACTATATAATTTTAACTATGTAATTTTAACTAGTAATTATAGAATTTTTAAAGAAATCAAAACAGTGATTAAAACACATCAAGATCCAGTTTACAATATATTCCATAAATCAGTAAGATGACACCGGCATGTAACTGTAATTTGCTACATATTACGTCCGATGGTTAGGATGCAGATGTGAGATGCTTGTATCTTGTTCAAGTGTCTAGATGCAATTCCTGGCTTCACCTGATTCCAGCTTCACATTAACATGAATCCTGAGAGGCAGCAGGCTCAACTGGTTGAGTCTGTTATCCAGGTAGATGACCTAGACTGAGTTTCTGGATTTCCTCCCCACCCCACTCCACCCACTGCAGGCCCTGAAAGAGTGACTCACAGAGCAGCGACACCTAAAACAAACAACTCAGGAGCCAGGTCTGTGGAACAGTGCATTAAAATGCCACCTGTAATGCCAGCAGTTCATGAATACCAGTTCAAGTCCAGGCTGCTCCACTTTGGAGCCAGTTCCCCACTAATGGGCTAGAAAGGTAGTGGAGGATCTGACATTAAATATGTAAATGAAAACAAAAGAAGAAAATACCTAGTACCAATTTCTGTATAGGCAAATGTAAGTTACTATATTTTAAATATCTGTACCTGAAAACATTTACAAAATGACAGTAATGTCAATACAAGATGCTTCTAAGCTTCAACAGTTTACAGTGAAAAAAATTATCTAATGAATAAAAAGGCTATGCTGAACACAATGCCTACATGATTTTCCCAAAGTAGTCATAATCTAAGAGTGCTGATTAGTCAACAATGGAAATTAATAAACAAAGCAGCCAAGTCAAATAGAAAAAAAAAAAAAAGAAAGAAAAATGAAAATTAATTAAGGAAAAAACACACCTAGTTCTTGAACCAACAACCCAATGGACTGGGAAAGACTATTCGCAGTAATTCTTGGTGTTAATGAACGTGAGGCGATAACCTCTTAGAATGAGAGTATCAAGTGATCAACTTTTAAGGGCAACGTACCAAAATAAATCCACATTTTTAAAATGACAGAGGCAGGGCCCAGCGCGGTGGCGCAGTGGTTAAGGTCCTCGCCTTGCA